TCTACTCCAGATGATGAATCATCCAGACAGTTGATTGAAAGTATAATGCCATACTTAAAACCTGACTTGGGTTTGATCTCTTCTCAAGTTGTTCACGATTTTCTTCATAAAGTCAAAGACGCACCCTTGTCCGCACGTGGTTCAATTCTTCATATAATTGACCAAACAAAAGATAGTGAAATTTTAAAAGGTTTAGTAAATGAAAGAGCCTGTTATCTTCTGAGAAATTGGGTCAAAGAGGAAGCAAAATCACCTGAAAGCGATTTATTACATAAATTGCTTCAAACCGTTAATCACCTTCCAATTGATACTGAGGCGTTATCTGCGAGTGGGCTTGGGAGGGTAATTAATAACACTAGAGTTAAGGATTCTCAAATACCGGGTGTATCCGAATTAGCGTCTCTACTAATAAACAAATGGATCGATGAGAAAAGGCGAGCCGATGAGAGGGCAAGTCAACTTGCTGCAGAAAATTCCAGATCATCATTATCATCATCAGCAGCATCTGGTAGTGGTAGCACTTCCAGAACTGTCGTAAAATCTTCAGCATCCGCGAAATCGTCGTCTCAATCTTCGCAGGCTACATCTTCAAAGGCGGTTAAAGGAAGGGAGATTGTTGGTCGCGTAAGGCCATCCTCAGAGTCTAAAGTTGATCCTCGAATACAAGCAAGACCAGATACCAGTCTCTTTGATGAGATTCTAGGAAATCTTAATGCAACAAAGCCTGCAAGACAAGGACAGGTCAACAGAGTTACGCAAAAAGATCAAAAAATTGTAACACCCGCTAAGAATAAGATTGATAAGCAGAATGTACAGACGACCCAAGCTAACGAGAAGCAAAGTTCATCAACACAAGTAAATTTGTCGGGCACCGGAATTCAGAAATCAATTATGGATCTGGTTGAGGAAACTATAAAAGAAACCAAGAAAGAAGCAAAGATAATTACTAAAAAAAGGAAAAGAGTAACATTTGCTCCAGACAATATGCTCACTCAGGTTAAATTGTTTGAAATGGAAGAGAGAGACTACATGGAAGGAGAGTTCTCGACAATTGATACTCCGCACCAATTCGGAAATGCTAGAGATTTAGATAGAAGTGA